TAATCAAGTTCTTAAGTACTCACCTTCAAATGGATCTGTGATCTAATTGACTCTGGAGTTCCCTTGAGTGATTCCAGTCACATCATTCATATTTGCCCAATCTGTGCAACTTATCCATATCTTCAAAGTTTTCCATAAAGTTCACCCAATATGCTAGAAGCCTTCCTTGATTTCTCCTGACATCATACAAGAGTTAGTGGAGCCATTTGGCTGTGCACCTGCCATCTCTTATCTTGCCACATGATGAGCCCTATCATTCCTACTATTCCTTGATGATATAGTTTACTCTTCTACCTTAGAAGTCCTTATTGGTTACTGGAGTCAGGTTACTGAAGCCTGCTTATGTCCTCTATGTACTTCCCCATTGACTTCTGTGTGATACTTTAGCTCTTCAGAGACATTAGTGTTCCTCATCTAGCTGCCATACAGCCAATATCATCAAAATATTAACATTATACATACAGATGGATCTTTGCTTTTATAGGGAGCTTGAGATCTAGGAAATAACTTTGCAATGTTCTGAACATTTTTTATTTTAAAAAAGTAGGCTTTTTTATTCATCACCATTGTTTCATGAGAGAACCTTACCAGAGATATCAAACATGCAGTCTGTGGGCTAAATATTACCTACAACACCCCCAAGTGCAGCCAAACCAGATTAAAATGCAATTAGGAAGTATCTAACAAAACAAGTTAAAATAAAATAAAACATAAGTAATATTGCATTTTAAAATTAAGTCAATATTTGTTCTTCACAGACCCTTATGTAGTTGTCACTATTTCTTTTTTCCCCTTTTTATTTATTTATTTTTTCATTTATTTATTTTTGCACTCAATAGTATTTTATTTTTTTTTCAAATTACATGCAAAGATAGGTTTTAACATTCATTTTTGTAAGATTTGAGGTCCAAATTTTTCTCTCTCCCTCCCTTTTCTCCCCTTTCCCCAAGACACTAAGCAATCTGATACAGGTTATACATGTACAATCATATTAAACATATTTCTACATTAGTCATGTTATGAAAGAAGAATCAGAATAAAAGATAGAAACCACAAGAAAGAAAGAAAGAAAAAACAAGTGAAAATATTATGCTTCAGCCTATATTCAGATTCCATAGTTCTTTCCCTAGAAACAGCATTTTTCATCATGAGTCTTCAAGTCATTGTCTTGAATCATTGTATTTCTGAGAAGAGCTAAGTCTATCATAGTTGATCATCTCACAGTATTGTTGTTAGTGTATACCATGTTCTTCTGGTCCTGCTCACTTCACTCAGCATCAGTTCGTGTAAGACTTTCCAGGTTTTTCTGAAATGTGCCTGCTCATCATTTCTTATAGAACAATAGTATTCCATTACATTCATAGACCACAACTTTTTCAGCCATTCTCTAATTGACAGCATCCCCACAATTTCCAATTCTTTGCCACCACAAAAAGAGCTGCTATAAATATTGTTGTGCATATGTGTTCTTTTCCTTTTTTTTTTTATGATCTCTTTGGGATAGAGATCTAGTAGTGGTGTTTCTGGTTAAAAGGGAGTGGTCACTATTTCTATTTGAGTTGGACACCATCAGTCTTGACAGATCAAAGCATTGTTGCTCTTCAGTTATATCTGACTCTTCATGACCCTATGGACCATACCATCCCTGGGAGTTTCTTGGCAAAGATGTTGCAGCGGTCTGCATTTCCTTCTCCAGTGTATTAAGGCAAACAGAGGTTAAGTGACTTGCCCAGGGTCACACAGCTAGTAAGTGTCTGAGGCAGGATTTGAACTCAGGTCTTCCTGACTCCAGGCCCACCACTTTTTCTGCTGAGCCACCTAGCTGCCTCCTATCAAAGCCTTGAAAGCAACTTAATTCATTTTAATAACTTCCTATTTCTCAGTGTATTTACATAGTATCATAATGTAAAATCATGCAGTTTTGTGAGTTAATCCTACAAAACAATACTGAGTGTAGAAAGAACCTTAGAAGCCATTTTATCCAACTTCCTTATTTTATGAAACAAGAAATGAATCCCACAGTTTTAGTAACTTGCCCAATGCCACACAGCTAGTAAATGAAAGAGGCAGAATTTGAACTCATGTCCTTTGACTCCAAATCTATCAATTGTACCATGACATCTTCATAATTAAATCATTATTGTTTAAATATACTTTATACCCAGTAATTAAAGTTGTTTCTAAATTGCTTTTCAAATTGTCTCATTTCATTTCACTCTTGTCTTTGGAGACATAACCAGACCTAAATCAATGTATAGAATGCATGTATCTAGTAAGTAGCCTGACTTCTCCAACTCATCCATAAAATGTTTTAATTGAAAAGTCACTTCATAACTTCATAGCTTGTGAGAAAAATCAACCTATCAAATAACTCCTCAGAGATATGCCGTGTCTTCCAGTTCAGTGACATCATAAAGTTAAGGGAACAAGACCTAAATTAGTGAGACCTTCTGACGATGCATTACAAGAACACTTCATATTTTCTGGGTTAACATCAAGACCAGAGTTCAATCTTTATTTCATTTATATTTCTTTTTTAAAGAAATAATCAGATTCAAAATGCAAGAATGAATGAAGGATCTTTTGCTTTCTTAGCAATCAGAAATCCCAAAGCAGGAAATCCCATGGAATTCATAACCTATGACTTAGTAGATAAGGCATAGGGAGTGGCTTTAGGTATATAGAGCTCAAGTGATTTATCCAGGTTCATATAACTAGCAAAAGTAAAAGACAAGATTGGAACCAACATTTTCCTGACTTTAAGTCCATCCACTAAACCAGGCAGGTTTTCAATATCTGACTCATAATACTTTTAGTGTTTTGTTTTGTTTTGTTTTGTTTTAAATATGGATTTGTGATTTCCTTGGTGTGGGGAACTTGGTTAAATTCTCACCTCCAATGGAGAACAGGAATTTATCTATAACTTAAACTCTTCAGAGACAGCAGTGGCCCTAAGAGAGTTAGCAATTTGACCATGATCCCAGACTTATTACAAGTCAAAGGAAGGACTTGAATCTTGATCCTCCTGACTTTAAGCCTGGCTATTTTGCCATGATGCTTTTTCATAATTAAAAATGGAGATTTTTCCTCAGTGTGTTAGTGGGTTTCCTTCTCACTGTCTTCCTACTAAAGACTTCCATATCTAACATATATGAGGGTTTTGTAGCAATTTTGAAATGTTGCATGGTAAAGAGCTTGGTAAATACTATGCAAATAAATCAACACTTCTGATTTCAGTTATGAATTCTGCTTACTTGACAGATACAAAGCACTCTTCCATTATGAGCACAGGAACAGAAATTTTTAATTATTGTTATTGTTTCTGTGATGCTTCTGAAGTAGACAAGAAGTTTGTGAGGTTATCAATTCATATCTGGGAAGATGGAGAATCAAATATTAAACAGGCTACACCCTGCTAAGTTATGTAATGTGCTTCTTAAAGAAAAAAAAGTCAAGCAATAATACATAAGAAATAAAAATAAGTCAGTCACTCTGCTAAAATGTTTCTTAATGTGCTACACCACCATAAAAGCTGGCTTTATTTATTACAAATAATAAAACTGTAGAGTTAAACTAATCAAATTCAAATCAGTTCAACAGCGTAATTTTCAGCTGAAGAGGTGCTTAGGAAACGCCAAATGAACTCAGCAACGGAAGGCTCATTGCCTCTTAATCAAATGCAGTCAGCTTTAAACATCAGCCAGCCAGGTGATAAGTTTGTCATTTCTCAGATCTGTTCTTTGCAGGAAGTTGCCAGGAAGGTTTGACAGCTCTTAAACTTGCCGCCTCATTTGTCCGTTTATAAACTTCATGTTGATCTACAAAAACTGCTGGGGCGGGGAGATAGAGAACAATGACACTTCTGTCAAAACAGGTATCTATACATATGTGCGTATGCACATATCCATACACATACACACATATCTATATATACACATGCATAAGTGACTATTAAATGACTTGTTACATATTATATATGTATGTGTATATACATATATACATATATATATATATGTACATACACACACACACACACACACAAACATACATACTGGCAGCTAGGTGATGTAGTGTATAGAGTGTCAGGGGAGTTAGGAGGACTGGAGTCAGGGGTACTTGAGTGCAAAACTGATCTCAGACACTTACTAGATGTATTACTCTGGGCAAGTCACTTACCCTTGTTTGCCTCAGTTTTCCTTACGTGGAGAAGAAAATAGCAAACTACCCCAGTATCTTTGCCAAGAAAACCCTAAATGGGGTCATGAAGAGTTGGACACAACTGAAAACAAAACCACAAACTATATGTATGTATATGTATATATAGTGTATACACACATACATACACACACACATATATGTATATTTATTCTGCTGCATACAGCAAATATCAATCAGGGTTTATGGTGTGAAAAGATGCTTAATTTCCAAAAAGAAATTTTCAACACCTTTTTCTTCAACTCTAGTTTTACTTTTTTCTCCTTATGTCTAATTGTGTCCAGTTGCTTTAGAGAACTGAAGAATATTAATGATTAATAGCCTTTCTCTCAGAGAAACACAAGCTTGTAATACATCGTTAGCGTTCAGGGATCAGAGCTCTTGAATTAAAAGGGGAAGCCATAGATGAATATATTACCACTCTGTACAATTAGCTTATACCAGTCAGAAATCAGATCCTTTCAGAATTATACCAATGCCTGCTCTTCAGTGAAAATCTATTTGCAGGAAAATTGCACAACTCCTTACAAGCTTCCTCCTAAAGGAAAAGAGATGAATTAATGTGCACCAAGAAATTGTCTAGAAGCCCATCTTTGATCTACCTTTGGCGGGGGAGTGGGGGGAATCAACATAGACAATAACATAAGGAAGGCAGAGTTATGAACAGGTGCTGAGCATCAGGTTAAGGAGGGCAATTGAAATGTAAAGGATTGGTTTGTCTCTCTGGTGGGATGAACTATCTGACCCTTATCTGAGTTGACCTGACCCTGTCATCTCTATTTTAGCCCTGATTTGATCTGCTGTTTCAAAGCAACAAGGCTGAAGCTACACAGACCATTTTCCTTTGCAGGTTTGATTTCTTTCTTTGACTTTTACAATAAACACCAAAGGCAGTGAGTGGGCAAGGGAGAAGATATATTGAACCTTGATGCATGTTTTTTACTCTAATAGAGTACATGTCAATTAAACTGTTAGGATGCTCAGAACTGGGGAGATGTTTAATGTGAGTTGGGGCACCCATGAAACTTGGTTCTTACATGTCTTCTTCAAGTGCATTTATCAAATAATTCAGGGGATAAAAGTGGCCCCATAAACATTAATTGAACAGCCATTAAGCAGGATAGCTGTTTGTTTGGGGTTGATGGAGGACATAAAGCTTCATACCCTGTGGTGGAAAACAATTAGGTCTGATGATGAACACGCCATTAAATGTACTATTACCAGTCTTCTATCTGTCTAACTTTATAAAATAGCAGTCAGCTATAGTCAAAAGCTTGCACAAGTGATAGGAAGTCATATTTTTACTGTCATGTCATCACCCATTATAAATATTGTAGTGTTTCTAATGCTTTATGCTAATGGCAGTGACTAATGGTAGTCATTATCTCCATTCAATCTCATAAAAAAAAATTCCTCAAGAGAGACTGCTCATAACTAGAATGCTGTTTAAAATTAAACTGTTTCTAAAACACTGAAAATAAAAAGCACTTAAATACAAGAGGTTGGATGACTGATTTATTTTGTTTTGAGTATGTCTGACAACTGCTGCCATCATTAACTTTGCCACCAGCCAAATTGATATTCCACACCACGGTGCCTTATAGACTCATACGTATATGTATGTGCATGCATAATGCTTTAAAGTTGTTTTTTTTTGCTCGTTTGAGAATATAGGTGAAGATTTATGATAAGTAAACTGATGGCTGAAATAAATCTGACACTGGCCCTTTGGAGATTTGGTATTTTTAACAAGGAAGGTGAGTTCTCCTCCATTTCTGATTTCTGTTATGAAATCTCCTTATTTGACAGATACACAGCACTCCTCCATTTTGAAAACAGGAACAGAAATACTTGAATGCATGAAACTGCTCTTTGCATCTGATCAGTGCTAAGTGGGATGTTAAATTTATGCCAAACAAGTAAGTGTTCATTTTGGGTTTCATTATAAGTGGCCACAGCAGAGTTGGTGTCTTTCCTGAGCCAAAAATATCCATATTTCATGTAAAATTTACCCATTTCAAACCTTCAGGCCTTACATGTCAATGTTCTGAGATTGTATACATTTGTGTGTGCATGCATATGAATATATATGCATAGATTTACATATATGCGTGCAACACACTCCCATATATATGATTCTAATCAGTACAGTTTAATCAGTGTAATACCATAGCTTTCCAGGCAGCATTGTCTTACTTGGGACAGCATGGTATAGTTGATAAAGTGCTGGGTTTAGAGTAAGAAAGATTTGTTTCTAAAATCTCTTACCTGACTTCCTAGGTCTGTGACCTTGAGAATCAATACTTTCTATGTTCCTTTGTCAATGCCAAAGAATTTGTCTACTATGTAAGAGATTATGATGTGCCTTAGAGATACTGAAATTCTAGCATTAAGAAGGAAGATGTTGAGAGAGTATTGGATTTCACTTAACTCTGAGCTAAGCAATTACTGTATCATCTTTTCCATTGCTGACTATTGTTTTCTAAGAAAAAGTTCTTAAAGAGTGGAGTTACTGCCCATACAGTGTATTAGGGCTTCATCACCACGTGGGAAGTAACTATGGATATAACTTCCATCTGGAGCCAAGACAGCCACAAATGGTAAAGATATTCCAATATCATTGTGGTTTTGACTAAGTAATACTAATTATGGTTATACTAAGTATGGGTTTTGTGGTGATAAAATTGATATGTGACTCAGACAAGCAGGTTCTTTCATGAATTTTTTGCCATATGATCTAAGGAAAATTTTCCAAAATTCTACCTAACGTTATTTAACTATACAAATATATTGTGTGTCTAAAGCATTTTGTACATTGTCTATTTTTATGGATTTGGGGAAATTGAAAGAAAGAGGTGTTTGAAATAGGGATCCCTTAGTCCTGTTGGTATAGTAACCTGCACTCAACCCCCAGACCTAAGTCATGCATTGGACCATTCATAAAGCTCTTTCAAAGCTTAGTTGTTCTCTATCACCAGGCTATATACTAGTTCCATTCTATCACAAAGCTACATTCTGCTATGATAAATTAATCAGTGCTAATGTATTCAGTAGGTGCTAATGAACACTAATAGTTTTAACATGTTACTTCACTGGATAGGCTATTTATAGTTTGGCTGGTTCCCTCTGAGGGTAAAGCTACCACTCGATGGAGAAATTTCAAAGGTAGATGACTTAGGAACTGTGAGGTGCTGGTAGAGAAACTATCGGGGACTGGGGCAGAAGGGGAAGTTTTCTCAGTTATCATAAAATCATGTTACGTTAGTGATTCTTCTTGGTTCCTCTGTAGGCCTGATTTTGACTTTCTGCAAGAAAGAAATGTTGAATGAAAGGTATTAATGATAACTCCTGTTTATAGAATCATTTATAACTCTATGATATAGATAGCAAAAGTATGATTATCCTCATTTTATAAATAATGAAAATAATATTCTGGAAAGTTAAAGTGACTTTTCTAAGGTCATACAGTATTTGAATCCAGATCTCTGAGCATTATTAAGATCAGTGTTCTTTCTACTATAAAATTCTACTTCTCCTAAGTCTGTTTCTATCAGGTACAGATTAGTTTCACTGTAGCCAAAAAGAAGTGGGGATGGAGAATCAGGTGAGTTTATAGTAATATTTTCAGTGCTTCATATTCATTCATTCCTTTATGATTTTTCCTAACACTTTTTCAATCAGCAAGTGCTAATTAGCTAACAATTCAGAAATAGATATCTGTATGTATATGTATATCTTTATCATCTACCTCTGTCTCTATGTATATGTATATCTATCTCTATTCATAGTGTGTATTTATAGAGAGACATACAGAGAGATACTTAAGGAGAGAGAAGACAGAGATATAGAGAAAGAGAGAGACAACATAGAGAGATGAAAGCTAGGAGGCAGAATGTTGTACTTAAAAAAACAAAAAGACGAGGATTCCAATTCCATCTCCAGCAATTACTAGTTAGTCATTTCAGCTCTTTGAGGTTTGCATGGTACCAATAGTGCCTATAGTCCTTATCTCCCAGGATTGTTGTGAGGTACAAATGAGAAATTGGTATATACCTATAAGCTTCTTTCACCCAGAGAAACAGCCTAACATAGTGGATAGAGGGAGTCAGGAAGATCTAGGTTCAAGTACTGCCTCTGATTCATATTTGCTGTGTGACCCTAGGCAAGGCAGGATTCTTAGACATATTTCTAAGACTATATTTCATAGACAAGTAGCTGACGTATATCAGTAGAGGGTGTGTCTTATTAGGTAGTTCCCCCTTCTGATAAAATCATAGATCTATCTTCGTAGCTATATTATATATATATATGTATGTATATATACATACATATATATATATGTATGTATATATACATACATATATATATATATGTATGTATATATACATATATATATGTATGTATATATACATATATATATATGTATATATATATATATAAATATGTATATATATATATATAATTTTAATCATGAATTAATCGCCAGCTATATGGTAGCACTAGGTACAAAAAAAATGAAAATGAAACTGTCTCTTCTATAAAGGATACACACACACACATATGTATATATATGCATGTACATGCAGACACATATGTATGCATATATAGATATTTGGTTATAGTAGTGTATAAGTATTAATTTAAGCTGCTATTATGCAGACAGAGAGATAATACTTTTTTGACACTGTAGGATAGAGACCTGGCCTCTATGCCAGGAAGATCTAGATTCAAGTCACTTAACCATTCAATATTCTAGACAACTTTTTAAGAATAAATGTGGCAGGGGCAGCTAGGTGGCACAGTAGATAGAGCACCAGCCCTGAAGTCAGGAGGACCTGAGTTCAAATCTGGCCTCAGACCAAACACTTGACACACTTACTAGCTGTGTGACCCTGGGCAAGTCACTTAACCCCAATTGCCTAATCCCCCCCCCAAAAAAAAGAATATGCTTGACATATCAGATTGCTTGTAGCCTTGAGAAGGGAGAGAGGGAGGTAGAAAAAAATTGGAAGGCAAAATCTTATAGAGGTGAATTTTTTTAATCTTTTCTTTTTTTAATGCTAGGCAGTGGGGTTAAGTGACTTGCCCAGGATCACACAGCTAGTAAGTGTTATGTGTCTGAGGCCCAATTTAAATTCAGGTCCTCTTGACTGCAGAGCCAGTGCTCTATCCACTGTGCCACCTAGCTGCCCTCAGAAGTGAATATTGAAAACTAAAACTAACTAAATAAATTTATTTAAAAAAAGAAATTTGAAAGAAAAAAAGGATATATGTTGCAAAGAAGGTGCCAGCATGCATTGGTAGAGGGAGTTTCTTTTATCAGTGAAATCATAGGTCCCATCCCAGTAGATATAGAAGCATATATCTATATGTTGAACATTATCTTAAGTGCAATGGAAAACAAAATTGCTGTTGTGTTCAACTCTTCATGAAGCCATTGAGGTTTCCTTGGCAATGAAACTGGAATGATTTGCCATTTCCTTCTCCAGCTCATTTTACAGATGAGGAAACTGAGGTAAACAGGGTTAAGTGACTTGCCCAGGGTCACACAGCTAGTAAATGTTTGAGGCCTGATTTGAACTCAGGAAGAAGAGTCTTTTTGACTCTAGGCCTGGTACTCTATCCACTGTGCCCCCTGGCTGCCCAGAATGCAAAATAAAACAAAATAAAACCTCCACAAGCAGCAGAGATATCCTTTGCCCACAAAGTAAGCACACAATTTAGCTAGGGAGAAGAGAGTTAAGGGATATGATAGAGCGTGACAGGAGAAGAAAGAGAGACAGACAGAGAGACAGAGAGAGAAAGAGGAAGACAGAGACAGAGAGAAGAATGATAAAGAATTTATTAAGCACTTAAGTTCCAGGCACTATACTAAGTACTATGGACCAAGGTCCCAGTGGAAGAATGAGAGAATGGAGATGAGGGGGACAGGGAAACCGTAGTGCATAAGTATATCTGTGTATGTGAATTTATATACACATGTATGTATGTACATTAACATGCATATTATATGCCTGTATGTGTATTCACATGTATACATCTATGCATCACAATTATTAAAAGCCCATGTGTATATGCATATATTTATGTACACACTAATGGACTGTACCTACTGATACTCTAGAGTGCTAAATTTTGTGGTACAGGCAATTGGACAAATAAGATAGAATATTATAAGGCATAATAAATCATATAGGACAAATGATAAATATTGGAAGACTTAGGTAAAGGAGAAATCAGTGTGGAATGGGATTTTAAAGGAAAGCCTGAAGGAAGATCTGGGCCTAGATAGACTACTATTAAGCAGAGATACACAGGTTTTCATTCCATTTTTCCGTAATTCAAAAATAAATCCAAATCTGAGCTTCCATAGAGCTCTGTGTGTGTGTCTATGTATGTCTGTACTTCAGATCCCTAGAGGCTTTTCACTGACACAGTCTATGATATTAGTTTTTTGTTTGTTTTCGACATAGTTAAAGTGAGAATGTGTTTTGCTTGACTATACATATTTGTAATAAGTTTTGGTTTTCCTGCTTTTCCAATAAGGTAGGGGAGACAGGAGGGATGGAATTTTGGAGCTTAAAATAAAATTAAAATGATTAAAAAAAACAGATGGCACCAATAAATTTCTACTGTGCCTGCTAAGTATTTTTATCACCTTGCTAAAACTTTGTGGTATTTCAACCCATAAGTCAGCATATTACTCCATTTGAAACCTAGTTTGAAAGATAAGCACTATGGTTATCTTTCTTGTCTT